GGGCTTCAAGCCCCTTTCCCTCCCTTCTCCCTCTCTTCTCCCTGCGGGGTTCAAGCCTCCGTGGGTGTACCAGCACCCGCACCCGCGGCCTCCACCCTCATCACCGCCCCAGGGGCCTCCGCACATGGCCCGACTGCTTAAGGCAAACTTAGCAGGGGGGCACCCACCCTGGCAGGCGGTCTGGAGGGAGGGAAGCAGTGAGCAGGCTCTTTAAGGGGGTGAGGGGCTGGGGGAGTCTGCTCCCAGGGTCTGGATGCTTCTCTCCTCCTGGTGGGCATATCCCGCAAAGTAGCAGCTTTGCACCCTCTCTTCTAGCTGTCCTGGAGGTCTAGAATAAAATAAAATGCTCACGGTATGTCAACCAGAATACCCTCCTTCCTGATCTCTGTGGAATGAGGCCGGGAAGATAAGATTTGGACCCTCATCGCCCCCTTGCAATTCCACCTGTCAGCGCAGCCAGAGCAGGCCAGCTCGGTTAACATGAGAGCGTCCATGCAGCCGGCCCCTTGTGCTTCTGGAACACCTGTCTTGGTCTGCTTGGGCTGTCTGAGCCCCCAGCAGCTGGTCCTTGGGGTTCCGAGTGCCTTGGGGCTCGTGTGCAGCGCTGCAGGGAAAGGCCAGGGTTTGGCCCGCTGTCGCTCTTCGCCAAGCAGGACACGGACATGGAGAGGCAGCGGGAATTCAACCACGAGCGCCCCCCTGGCTTCACTGAATGTGTAAGAGAGAATTAGATACTTGGAAAGCGAGAACTGACTTTCTTGCATCGCCTCATCACCAGTCTGATGAGCAAAAGAAACGAGGCATTTTGGGGCGTTTGGGGGTGTTTTGTTCCAGTGAACTTGCCCTCTAGAGCTTACTTGGCTTGCATTATCACCTCTTCCAGGGCCAAGCCTGAGGCGTGGCCAGTGCTTCCTGAGAGCCGCCCCTAAGAGGGAGGAGGCAGTCCGCACTGCCCAAGTCAGCAATAACTGAGCAAAGTCACATGCAGGTGGCCTTGATGGCACTGGGTGACCGAACACCTCCGGTGGAGTTTGGGGAGTTAACGTTGGAGGTCAAAGGTTACCGGGTTTGAGGCTGAGACAGTCAAGGGACACCGCTTCTCCACAAACCCACCAACTGGGGTCCACGCCTGTCTGCCTGTCGTGCGGGAGGCCAGGTTTCAGGCCTCTGCAGCAGCTCTGGTGCTGCCTGGCAGGGCCAGGAGTGGATCCCTGTCCCCAAGCTGGACCCCTGGGTCCAGAACATGAAGGTCAAGTGGCTGGAGGAGCTCAATGTCCTCTTGGCCAGTCCAGGAGTCTGAGATCATCGCCTTGTTTCCGGGGCCATTCCTCAAGGGTGAGGTTTTGAAGATTATGCCAAAGCCACCCTGAGCTGGTCAGCAGACCTCACTCAAGGCAGTGCCGCCATTGGGTTAACAGTGGGTCCCTTGGTCTGGTGTTGAACGCCCTAGGGAGGTAGCCACTGCCAACCCTGGACATCACTCTGGCCAAGCTCTCCACCAGCCCAGTTCAGGGAGGCTGCAGGATGCGCTAGCCCCCTCCCTGTTCTTTGCAAGGCGCCCTCCTCCCCCGCACCAGGCGCTGGCATGGTCTCTGCCCGATGCCCAAGAAGCGGCTGCGGATGGCGGGACTGACCACAGCACCCCTTCCTGGGGCTGCACTGCCACCCTGGGCGGCTTTGCCAACGCCACGGTCCACTCCATTTTCCAGACCGACAGACAGCTGTCTCACCCCCACTCCGGAAGGGGTCCGTGCCCCCAAGTGTCCTATCGGGAGTCCGTGCCCACTTGGCGAAGACCCACGGGAGTCTCTGTGCAGAGGAGCTGGCTCTGGCCGTGGCCACCACATATTTTCACCAAAAAATAACGTGGTGGGGGGAAGGAGGGACCCCAGTGATCAATAAGGAGAGACCCTAGTGGGTGGCCCCAGT